GTCTTCACGTGGTTTCCACTAGTTTAAAAAAATCCATTTAATTCCCTCTGGGATTTTCTTCAAAAGCAAGAGCAAAAGAAAAACACAGATACTCAAACAGTACAACTTTGAGAGACGAATTCCCGTGAAGGCGTTTAATATCATGACACGGCACTGCTTTATCTCCGACTTTCTTCACAGCTAGAGTTCAAACAACTCCATAAAATCATTTGAATTTCTTCAAAATTTAAAAAAAGGAAAATATTAGGAATAGAATTCTTGACAGAATTACAGCCACAGGCTTTTCTTTTTGCTTAGAAAGAGAACATTTACTATTCTTTTAGATTTATATTTTTGAAAGAGTTTTTTTTTTAAATTCCTTTCCTTTGGTGATGCTTAAACTATTAAGCAGTTTGTAAATTCTTTGAATTCTCACTGTCACTGGAAAGAAAAAGGATACTTCACTATACACATAAATGTTCCCTATAGACTAAAAAGGCTTACTGTGTTGGATGTTCGGGTGATTTCCTTTAATTTGCTGGGACTGTCATGGTTGGAGCACTAAAGCCCCATGTACTAGGAACTCCTCAGTGGTGAGCTGACCAGAACGGCCACTCACCCAATCAAGACTGCTGAAAGTAAACCTTTTTAAAAGATTATAAAAGCAATCATTGTTTATAAACATCTTCGTTGTTTTTCATCAGTATTGTCATTTAGATAAAGAATATCTATAAACGTTGTCAATCAATTAATAAGATTAATGGGAAGAGATTCAAAAATCACCTTGTGCTGTAAAGGAGTTTTGATACAAACATATATGTTGATGTAGACTGGAATCAGAAGTGCAAACCAAAACTCCCAGGCTGAAAAGAAGACGGGCATTTGCTAGTTCATAATTTAGGACGGTGTCCTCTTTTCTGAAATGAACAACACTGCAAGAGTTTGGATAAAACAAGAAACCGAGTGCCCATCACTGTCTTAGGTTAAACATGACCTGGCATCTAGGTGTGGGGTACATGTCCACAGCGGGGTACACAGTGTATTGACATTCTGTAAACAACCAGAGTAAAAGAAAGAAAGACATCAGAAAGTAAAGACATAAACACCCATAGAGTATAAAAAAGAAAGACAGACATCAGAAAGTAAAGACTAGTTAGCCCCCAATTTTTCTGGCACAAGATTCCTGCATTCACATTTCTGCAGAAGGTCTGTGTGCACGAGAAGGGAACTGGTGACCATTTGGTTGCACCCTGAGCTCTCCAGGAACGATGCCGGCCTCCTATCTTTAAGGTGGTACCACCAGAGCTCCTCTTGCTACACATAATATCAACAAGTAGGATGAACAGGCTTCCAAGCCTAGGATTAAACAATCTCATGTTACCACATCTATGAATTGTAGCTGGTTAAACATATGTCCCACCGGAGTGCTGATGAAAGAGCTGTACCAAATAGGACAGATTTCTCAGACCGGGTGATACGGCTCTCCATTACTCAGTAATTTACATCAGTGAGCTGTATGAATGGGCTACTAGAATATTCATCCAACACGTAGAACACGGCTTGTGTGTTGGGAGAGAATAGAGACTCACAAAGACCTTGGTAAGCGGAACGAAAGACAAAAACTCAACGGAATTTAATGTGGTGGGTAAAATGCACAATCTACTCATTTAAGGAACACAGGCCGAGGCACGATGATGATCATGTTCAGACGTGGCCGACTTGTAACTCCTGGAAAGAAGACTGTCATCAACTACAAAACAAATTTAGCCAGTTGAGTGAGGCGGTGGCTTAGAAGGCTAAAGTTAATGAGACTTCACTATACGTTAATATTAATAGGGAGACGTTTCTGAGACAAGGAAGATGAGTTCCACTCGGGCTTACACCGAGCCAGAGCAGAGTTGGAATATGAATATTACTTAGTTCAGAGCACTGGGATTTAAGAGAGATAGGGAGTACAGAATGCTTACAGACAAAGATGTTGTGTATTCCTGATTACTTAGGAATTGGTAGCATTCCACCCAGAGCATCAGAGGAGCCCCTTCATATGCACAAATGTCTGCATATGAAAGACAGGAAGGGGTTCCCTGTAGTCTGGGAAGCCAGGGTGGGGAAAGCACCCAAGAGAAAACCCAGGAACTCATAAGAGCTGCCAGACCACAAAATGACCAGCTGCTCAAAGCTCCTCCTTCCCATGCTGAGATTGGGCAGGGGTCGGGGAAAACCCCATCTGTCAAGGATAAGGCAGAAGGGATTACTTCATGGAGAATTAGGGAATTTAAACAAAGTGGATCTTGGCATCCTTCCCAACCAGAAGATTCTGAAGGTCCAAAGGAAGCCGTTCACCTCAGGTACATGGAAGCAGAAATGGAAACATAAAATCACACGCACAGAGAAAGGAACCCAACAGAACAAGCAGAGTGTCAACAAAACAAGCCTCCTCCTCACTCTGTGAACGGCACAGGGGCACAACGCCCCATTAGATGGGGAAGGAGATCTCCTGATGAAATAAACTGGACAGGAAGGTGATAACTAACAAATAATCCGGCAACATTATTCAATTACAGGTCATTTAGACGTTTTGAAACAGCCTCAAAAGCCATTTGCATCTTACTAATTGGCCCCATCTATAACTCCTCCTAAACCCTCCCTGGCTAAGCCTCACAGAAAATCATTATGATCGATAGAAATTACCAAGCAACATGGATTTAAGAAACAATAACAACACACGTCAGGAGGACACGCAGCTCAGGCAAGGAGCTGCTCTGAACTTCCCCACTTGGTTTCTTTGAAGGTGGCGGCCTGGCCAGCACAAAGGGCTCTGACCTTCACCAGCTCCAGCTTCCGCCCCTGTCCTCAGGGAGCTGAGCTGTGATGAAGGGGACTGCAACGTAATCCATGTGTCCTCCTGTCCTGCTTTCTGCACCCATGTCAGTTTAATAAGCACATTCTCAGGATGGGCCCTCTCTCTGGAAGCAGCTCTGCCCACCTGAGTCTCTTTAACATCCCTGTACAGCCAGGTCTGGTCTGCTGTAGGAGTACGGGGATCCGCTCTGGCGGACAAGAGGAGATTCCAGTCTAGGCTTGCTCCCGAAGGGGTCAGCATCCCCGGGAGCCCTGACCAGTCACTGATTCCTACCTTGTCACTCCCATTAGGTGCCACTGTCCCCTTCCCCTTTCACCAAAAGAACAGTGAGGCTTAGGGAGCTCCTGACACTTGCCTAGGATTTGGAGAAATAGAATACAGAAGGGATGGCCACAAGTGGAACTGGCCTTTATCTGCCTGCAAAATACTTTGATGATTTTCCTTGAGCACAAAATTATCCCAACTGGTGAGATATCACAGAGAAGCCTGAGTGTGTGGGTACTGGTTGGATCCCCCAGTGAACCACTTTGTTTTTTGCAAGAGCTTTAATCTTGAACACGTCAAGTATCTTAAGTCACCTTTTATTGTTTTGTTCATTTTTAATTTCTTTCCATATGTTATAAAAATCCCAACAATACCTGGGGCAGCCACACATAGCCACACATAAATAATACATTGTACTTTAAGATTTTCACACTAACACAGCAATTACCACAACTAACTTGAGTTTTCTGTTCTATGGGAAACTTTGCATTGTGTAAGAATCTTGCAAATAATGTTGACATACACTGACATCCAAAATAAAGCATCCATGTGCAGACTGAAAAAACCTACCTTATTCTCCTCCCCACTCTGCATGGCTGTGTGAATTCCTTTCACCCCACCGGCAAGAGGCAACATTAAAAAGAAATAAGGGAGGGACTGCAGGGAATCGGATTCCCACTGAAGTCCAGACACAGCGAGGC